AGCACCTCCCGGTACTCGAGATGCCGGACGTTGGTCACCGCCTTCTTCGGCACGCCCTTGATTTTGCGCTTCTCCTTGCGCGCGCCGTCGGGCTGGACCGTGAGGATGCTGTACATCTTGGAGCGCAGGCCCACGTACTCCAGGATCCTGGCGGGGAAGGTCTCGTCGCCGAGCTTGCCCAGCTGGCCCATCACCTCGATGGCCTTGGCGCGCGCCGCTGCAGAGAGCGCGCTCAGGTCCCTCTTGGGGTCCTTGGACTTGCCGGCCACGTCGAAGAGGGTGGCGGGTGTCCGTGAAGAGCAGCCTCATCTTCGGGAAGAGCCTCCTCATGTGGAGGTAGTAGGCCTTCTCCATCATGAGCTTGGAGAGCTGCAGCGTGCGGGCGCCGACTTGGGTGGGCTGCGGTTCGTCTTGAGCGTCTCCACGAAGGCCAGGAACCCCTCCGAGTCGTTGATTTGGAGCTCGAAGTTCGTCACGGAGCTCTTGCCCACGGCCCGCTCGAACTTGGCCGGGTCCACGTAGGCGTTCGTGTTCCTGAACTTGTCGGGGGGGGCAAGTTCCTGCGGGACGTGCTGGGCGCCAGGATCTGGAGGCTGCGCAGAGCCTACCGCTTCGCCTGCAGCCCCTTCATGGCGGGCTTCATGGAGCTCAAGCAGCTCAAGACGGGGTCGCCGAGAAGGTGGTGAAGCTCACCCAGAACGCCATCTTCGGCCGCTGCTGCATGAACCTCGGCCTTTGGGCCTCACGGGCTCGGCCACGCTGGACGGGCTTACCGCGCAGGGCAACGTGGGCTGCGACCAGCTGCGACGTGAGCTGCACCGATGTGCGGGCGTGGACGCCTCGGGCGCCATTTCCTGCGCAGCGCTCACAGCCACTGGCGCCGTCGCCGGAGCCACGCTGCCGTCCACTGGTGGAGCAAAGCGGGACGCCGGCGCAGGTGGAGGTCATCGCATCCATCGCCATAGTATGCTTACTACCGGTATTTTCTGACCAGGGCGCATGGTGGGGGGGGGTGCGGAGCCGCCTTATGTGGCAACGGAGGTGGATCAGAGCAAGCGTGCGGTTGAGCCTGCCTCTGACACGGAGGAATCCGAGTCTGACCCTGAACTTGCGCCACACCTTGCCGCGGTTGACAGGATCAGTGTGTCCAGCTTGGAGTGCTTGGGCAGCCGCCTCCACTCCCCGATCGACACAAGTGTCGCCTCGGCGCAGCACGCTGGAGCGGCGCCCGCTTTCGGCCTTGCGCACGTCCTGCCTGGCCAGGGTCTTCTGCCTCTCCCGACGTGCGTGCGCGCACCAACGTGCGAGCTGTTGCTTTGTGTGAAGATGAGAGGAAGCAGCTTGGGGCTCCGGGCACACTGCCCCAGGCGCACTCTCCAGGCTCGCTCCCCCTCAGTGTCTTCTTGCTGTGGCAACGTGGTGCGCTGCAACGGGGTGCTTTGCAAGCAACAGCAACCTGAAGGTGGAGCAGGGGGTCATTGACAACATAATCATTCATCGCGTTTAAGAAGCTCTTCCCGGGCGTCTCTCGCGCTGAGTTTCAGAACCAGCTTCAACGCATGCCAAGGGCAAGCGCGTCAAGCGCAAACGGCAACCGCGCCCCGCAAAGTTCTCCCGTTGCAAAGGCGCTTGGGGCCGGCACGCGTGGCTGATGGGCAGTGGGGCGTGCCCCGTCCGTTTGCCTGGGCCGCGCAGAGAGTGTGGAGCACGGCGCGCCTGAACTTGTGCGTAGGCGCGTCAAGGGCCACGTGGATTGTTGGCCGCACTAACGTACAGGTTGGGAGGCCGTGCCTGATGTGGGTCTGCTGGAGTGCTGGGCAGGGTCTGGCGCGGTCACGTTGGACGGTGGCTGCCGCAGCCGTGCACGGGGTAGCGGCGGAGCCCCACTTTCTTGAAAAGCTGTTCACAGTAGCGTGCGGCAGGGCCTCGCACCCGGCAAAAGGTGTAGAAGCGCCTGTCCACGTCGCACAGCGCAGGAAGCTTCGATACCAGGCCATTGTTAATTGCAACATGAAGCAATATTGAATCAAGATTGAGTCATCTTGAGTTGACGGAAAGTCAATAGTGGATCAATATTGACGGCGGCGCCCGGGCCTGGTGCGTGGCGCTGACACCTTCGAGCCCGTTGTGAACCTGCTGCTACTTAAGGCAAGACATGCCAGCCTGAGAAATTTCATGGGTTATGCGCCGCAGTATTGCCACATTGCCAATGTTTTTGCACGTCCAATACTCCAATCTAGTGGACTTGAGGATCGCCTTCTCACTCGAGCAATGCGGACGGTGGCCTTGGGACCCTGCAAGCCCTGCTGCGCAACCTGGCGCATCTGACGCCTTTGCTTTCGGCCTCATCCATGCATTCGGCACGGGCTGAACAGGAGCACGCTGAGCCGGCGCCTTCGCTTTCCGGAGCGCTCTCGCTGTGTGTGGCCGACGAACTGTCTGCGGGGATCGTGCGTGTCGGAGCGCTCTCGCTGTGGCGCCGTGCGCATTTGCACGCTCGCCGACGAACCCTCTGCAGGGATCGTGCGTGTCGGAGCGTTCTCGCTGTGGCCGACGAACCCTCTGCCGTGCGTGTCGGAGCGCTCTCGCTGTGGCGCCGTGCGAATTTTCTACGTCGCCGATGTACCCTCTGCGGGGATCGTGCGTGTCGTATCGCTCTCGCTGTGGCGCCGTGCGAATTTGCACACTGGCCCACGAGTCGGATCGCTCTCGCTGTGGCGCCGTGCGTATTTGCACGCTAGCCGATGAACCCTCTGCGGGGATCGTGCGTGTCGGATCGCTCTCGCTGTGGCGCCGTGCGAATTGGCACGCTGGCCGCCGAGCCCGCAAAAGTAGCATGCGATGTACGCTTCCGCAGCTCCGGCCTGAGAATCGCAATTTTTAGATAGAAAAGTAGTACGCGAAGTACACTCCCGCAGCTCCGTTTTGCAAAGAAAGGAGGGAGAGAGAGAGAGAGAAAAGAGAGAGAAAGAGAGAGAGAGAGCGAGAGAGAGAGAGAGAGGGAGAAAGAGAAAGAAAGAGAAAGAGAAAGGGAAAGAGAAAGAGAAAGAGAAAGAGAAAGAGAAAGGGAAAGGGAAAGAGAAAGAGAAAGGGAAAGGGAAAGAGAAAGAGAAAGAGAGAGAGAAAGAGAAAGAGAAAGAGAAAGAGAAAGATAAAGAGAAAGAGAAAGAGAAAGAGAAAGAGAAAGAGAAAGAGAGAAAGAGAGAGAGAGAGAAGCAGTGTATATATATATATATATGTGTATATATAACATCATAGATGTACCCCAACATTGTTGCTTTCGGGATAATCGGTGTCTAGTTATAAGGCTCTTTTTGGCTGAAAGAAACACATTACATTGCAAGCCATGTACTGCAGCGGGCACTTCGAGAGGGAGGCTCCACACGCAGATAATGGGCAAGCTCTGCGGGGCGGCAAACGTGCCGGCCGCGTTCCAGAAGCGCGCGTGGCTCGGAAGGAAATTAGACGGAGGAAGGGAGTTAGTGAGTGAGCAGTGATGAAGATGGGTTGGGTCATTCCTTTCTCCCAACCATCTAATCTCATCCAACATTATTTATTGTAAACTTTAGAATTCTGGAATCTCTATCATTGACCGCCAACAAATAAGAATTCCGAGAAAAGAAAATCCATAAAATCAAAAATAGAAAGTAGCTGTCCATTAGATAATCTCGAGATGAACCGCTATTACGAAAGGTTCCATCTCCATTCAAGCCTTTCCACAGCTATCTGCATTCCCTTTATCTCTGAGGCCATCTTGTCATGTCGTACATCATCGACTCCAGCAGTCAGATCGACCAACAGGTACGAGCCCACCCAGCTGAGAACGTGTAGTGAAAAAGCGTACCGCTGCTGGTTGCACCCGATCTGTTAACACTTGTGTTAAAAGTAACAACATGCAGCGCAAGTGGATTGCAGGTGCTTGAATTGGAATTCAAGCACCCTCTGCATGGTAAGTGTGACACGGTGTGTTGAATACCGCTTGCCATTTTGGCGAAAAGAGCTTTCTTGCCACCCTCCCTGACCATTTCACCGCATGACGCACGCACCTGTTCGATCTGCAGATTTCTGCATCAAAGGAGAGGGGAACTCCCTGTGATGCTTACTGTGCAACATTTTGGTTTGCATCATTCAGTTATGCTTACCTTTTGGTTGTACTTTACTTTAAGTCAGTTGGGTCTGAGAGACACCATCGACTCCAGCAGTCAGATCGACCAACAGGTTATATCCCACCCATCTGAGAACATGTGGTGAAAAAGTGTACCGCTGCTGGTTGCAGCCAATCTGTCTGGAGCGATTCGTTGTTATCCTGCCAACCCTGGTTCTGTGTGGCAGATAACGTGCAGTCTGCTACATTCAACTCAGCCCTGCTGTCTGTGAGGCAGCGGTTTGCGGAAAGACTGCCAATTGTATCACGGAGTCAAAGGCAGGCGCCGTTGACCGCATCACTTGCCCTGCACTGCTGTTGGTTTGGCAGAGCGTCTCAGGGCCCAGCGGATTTTTTTTCACTGCGGCACTGCCCAACAAAAAAATGACGCTGCATTGCGCTGGGCGTAGAGCGCATGACGTGTCCTCTGTGAGGTCTTGCTCTCTGCCGGTGCTGAAAGCGGGAGCCTCGATGTGAGGGCTGCGTGAAAGCATAGACAAACAATTTGCAGCCAGTGACTTGGTCAAACCGGACTTTTGGGCACGACTCTTCCATCCCATTCCTTTCAAACAGGTCCCAGTCTTCCTTGCCCGGTCCACCTGCTTTGCAGGACGGAAAGAAACGCGCGGCTTTTCTTTGAAAAAAAAGAACCGCCGAAGAGGTTGACAAGGGTAGCTAGGCTTCTGGCCGTTTGTGGTGTCAGCGCTTTGGCGTTTGATGAACAGGTTTCGGTGAAGCTACGCTTGGTGTTGATTGCCTTGCTTGGAGTTGCCTGAGAGTTGCGCCATCAGCATCGCCATGTGCAGCAACAACCGCAAAACGCAAGTTCGCAAGTGAGGCTCCGCTGAGACGAGCCATGGCCCTACGCTTGGCAGCGTTGGCCGTTGCATGGCTGGTCGCAGAGGCGCAGATGAATTGCACGCCGCCGGCGAGCAGCTTCGAAAGCAGCCTCAAAGTGGCCTTCCAGCCAACCTTCGACACCGATATTTGTGCGTTGCAAAAACCGGCCTTGAAGAGCGGCAAGATGGCAGAGCTCTGCAACGCCTTCTGCGCGACTGCTGGGAGAACCACGGGCTTGCCTCTCCTGCTGGGCTCCGAGACCTACGGCTTCAACCAGGAGGAGATGGACAGCCTCTGCACGGATGTGAGCCACCGCAACGCCTCCTTGGAGGCTTTTTGCCTGTCCCGCAGCAACTCTCTCGATGAGATCATGGTGAAGGCCGCCGTGTTTGTGGCCCGCGTGGACATCTTCAAATCCGAGCAGCTGGCCTTCCGCGCAAACATGCAGAATGCGTCTGCCAAGCTGGAGGCGGAGCTTGCAAGTCAGACGTTTGCGAACCTGATAGCCAGGTCCACCAACAAGCTGGACTTGCTGAAGCAGAAGTTCAGCGAGTTCGCCGCAACTACCGCCATGCAATCTGGCAGAACCAGCGCATTGATGACAGCCATGGACCAAACGCAAGAAAGCTCCGAGGCTCTCATCACCTCCGTCAACATGAACTTGGCCCTCTTTGAAGAGTTTGTGAACGCCTGCAACAGGATGTTGCTAGGTACAGGCCACCAGAACGAGTACCTGCTGGACATTTGTGCCCAAAGCAGTGTGGCCTGCTTGGAGGAGTCCGCTGCCGGCCATGTCGGCTGCTGCTGCGGGTACAACCCAGTGGTGGCCGACAGCTTCAAAGTGGACGGTCTGACCGCAAGCATCTTGAAGGGCGGCCGCGTGGCTGCGGGCCGCCGGCTGCAGGCTGAGGACGTGATGGACTTGGACATCTGCGCTGAGGCGCGCGCAAGCAGCAAAGAGGCTGTTGCAGGTGTGGCTGCTCGCGTGGCAGAGCTGGGACAGCAAGCGCTGCTCGATGAGCGGCAGCAGATGTTGGCATCGAAGTATCCAGAATACTACGGCAAGTGCGTCGGGCGGCGCATGCAGGAAGCGCTGGGAGCTGAGGCTGCGCCTAGTCTGCTCTCTGAGCCCGCAGGCCAGCCTGCAAGGCAGCTGCAAGCTGGTTTGAGCTGCACACCTCCAGCTCACGCCAACACCAGCTTAAAGGTTGCCTTCTCAAACACTTTGGAGGCCGACATATGCAGCTTGCAGGTGCCCCCGGTGAAGAGTGCTGACATGCGGGCACAGTGCAGCTAGGCTGAAATTGGGGCTTGACAATCTTCAGGCTGTGTCGCTTTTGCTATGAAACATGCATGCCCAGCGCGCACATGCGCGTTCTGCGCGCAAACTGCTGGATGCCACGAGGCAGCGACTTTTGCGGTCGCCGCGGCGTGTCCTTGCTCATCGGTGCCGAGACCTATGGCTTTGAGCTCGGAGCCTCGGAGAGCATCTGCCTGCCTCCCGAGGGCGTGCTGATCCATGACCCCGTGCCCCGGCGATGCATCACAAAGGGATGCACGAGGCGATCGTCCCCCGTCCTTGGCTCGTGATTTGGGGGTGGCTCAAAATTAAACAGGAGGGGCAACCCGCAGGTTTTGGTGCATGTTTTCACTTGCCAGGGGTCCTTTTTGGCACCGGCTTTTTGAGCCACGGCCATTTGCGAGAGTCCCGCCCTAAGGCGAAGCTCCGGGACTGCGGCCAATGGTCCGTAGCCTTTCGAGAGGTGGAAGTGAAGACCTCGCAGTTCATCGCGCAGCTGGACATCTTCCGCGCCACGCAGCAGTACTACGTCGCGACGCTGCGCAATGTGACCGCCGGCATCCAGGCGTTTGTGAGCAGCCAGGAGTTTGCGGCGAAGATCCAAAGAGCACGGAGCAAGGTGGAGGAGGTGAAGGCGGCTGTCAAGGAGAGGTTGCAGATCGGGTTTGCGCTTCTGGTTGAGTCAGAGTTGATGGCGGCAATCCAAGCACTCCGGCAAAAAGCTGCAGCTTTGCAAGCCGCTCTTGGGCAAAACATCCCGCTGATCAAGCGGTTTCTGTCTGAGTGCAACGACATGCATGTGGGCACAGGGCCGCAGAACGAATACCTCTTGGACATTTGCGCGCAACAGAGCGTTGCGTGCTTGGATGAGGCGGACGCTGGCCATGTCACTTGCTGCTGCGCTTACCACCCCTTCTCCACATTTGGAGAGACCGTGTCGGAGATCATCGATGGCATCCAGGATTTCCCAAACCCTGCCAGGGTGCGGTCGGGGCGCCGCCTTGCCGGAGGGGAGTCCTTGGACATTTGCGCCCAAGCCTGGACCGAGGCGGCGCCAGCAGTGGCGCAGCTGTACGCGAAGATTGGAGCTACTGGACAGCCTGCCGCGGCAGAGGAGTGGGTTCAGAAGATGCAGGACCAGTACGGCTCGACCTTCTGCAGCCTCGCAACGCCCCCCAGCCTCGCAGCGCCATGCTGCTGGGCCACTGCTGCTGCTGGGGCGCCGCTGCTGCCTTTCGGCTTGTTGCTGGCCCTCTTCCTTGCAGCTTGACGCTGGTAGTTGCGGCTGCGATGCTCGCGATGTGGAGTGCTTAGCGAGCAGCAAGCAAGTGCACCCGAAGCCCAAAGAGAACTGCAAAACTGAGGTGCGCGGACCTTTTCCGGGGCCCGCATTGAAAGCGAGCTTCCTAAATGATTTTCCCCCGGCCGGCGGCCCCAGCTGTCACGCAGCCATGCTCAAATAGGAAGCGACCCAAGCCTCCCGAGGCTTGAGACGCGGGCCTCAGTGAGTGGTTTCCAAGTCACGACTCGCTGGGGCACAATGGCCGAGTTGGCAAGCGCATTTCACCAGTTTCCGGGGTGAGACGGGCGCGCTTGCGCTTTTCGACTCAAGCCTCATGCCCCTGCCTTGACCTTGCGCAGCGCAGCTGAAGAGGGGCGGCCTTTTGTGCTGCAAAGACCGGAAATCCGGTGTTGCCGCCGCTGCGAGATCTGAAGTCTGAAGTGTGCTTACCTGGAGGAAGCAGCTTAATTACTGCGCAGAGTGAGAGCGAGCATGTTGCGCAGCGCCTTTTCTGTTGCATGCTGGCGCCATTTCTGGGCCCCAGTCGCAGAATGGCGTCCTTTGGCCTAGCGATTGATGCGCACCACTCATGTGTGAGTTCTTGACTGCCGCGCCAAACGGTTTTGGGCGGCAGCGCTTCCTGGGCTGGAGCATCAAGCAAGCCGGGCTCGCAGGACAAGGGGTTAGAGCCAGTTGGAGCTTCAAAGCTTCCTGCGGTTTGTCTTGACCAAGGTTAAGGCGCTTTCCACGCAACGGCAATGTGATGCGAAGAATAGCTGCAGGAAGCGGAGGCTGGCTTTCATGATGATCACTCATTGCCCCTATTTTCCCATCAGTGCACATGGTCCAAGGCTGACCCTGACTGCTCGCAACGTCCGGACGAGGTTGCAGTTGGCTGGGGCGCAAGCGGCTCAGAGTTTTCGTGTCAGGGAAAAGCCTGCGCACGGATTGGCGTTCTGAACGCTTGCCTTGCGCACGCTGAGGCCTCGTCCCTCCGGCTTGTGGCTCCAAGCTCAAGCCGCAACCCAGAATGAAACAATGGCCTCGACCTTCATCAGGGCCTGAACTTGCCCGCCAGCGTTTGAGGCGCCATGGCTGGCAAAGCTAGAAAGCATGCGGACATCTTGATTCGCAACGTAGAGCTTTCACTTCCATGTGACACTTTGAAGTATTTCTATATGGCTTGGTCGCTGAACTTAAATACCAGTCGAGACTGGCCGTGTCTTCAATGAAGCAATATTAATGCAAATTGCAGACTGCGCCGATTTGCTTCATCCTTGTTTGCTGCTCTAACTCAGTCATGTCTTTTCCCTTTTGATTTGCAGTGTCTGGCATGTTTGGGGCAAGCAGATGGTGGCCATATCGCATGTGTTGTAGAAACTCGCGACTTGCTTGTTTCCTAAAAAGGCAACAAACCTGACCAGCTGAATGTCCAGGAGTCTGTCGGCGCATGGTAGTTTGGAGCTTTGTTCCCTGGGATGCAACAGAGCTTTGAAGAAGGAGCATATCAGTGTGGGCAGTCGCTTGCGCTGTCACAGGTAAGATCGCATGTCATTTGGGACGGCTTGGCTCAGGACATGTGAACAGCAATGCGCCATTCCTCTACCTGGATCGTCCCTTTGCTTGGGAGTGCTTTTGCTGCACGGCCTTATGTGAACGTGCACGATGTGCGGAATGGAAGATGTGGGTTTCCATTGGATTGGCAACACTTGCAGAGGTGAAGCTATCATCTCGGACCCTTGGGTGTGTTGGGATATGACTTTCAGCATCCACATCGGAGCCAACGCGCCCACGGACCCGCCGGTGCTGAAGGTGGGTGCTGGGTGTCAGCCGGGGGCCAAATGCACGCTCTGCGGCTGCTGCGGCCGCCGGGAAGCGTACCTAGAGGTCAACGACCCCAAGAACGACAACAAGACAGTGGCCTTGTCAGATTTGTGGGGGCATGTTGTTGGTTCGCATCCTTGTCGGTCGTGTGTTGTTTTTGGTAGTTTGTGCAGATGTCGTTGATCTGCTGTTCATTTTACGGGGACTTGCGGACACGCAATAGTGATCGTCCACTGCAAAAAAGTTCAACAAGGCGCTTGCCAATTTGACGCATCGCTTTGCATCACTGTTGTGTTTTGAGCATGCGTTCTCTCTGCTGCAGGCACAAACCTGCAATGAAGAGGGGGCCTGAGCGCTTTAGCATGACTCCGCATGTCCGGCTCCAAAGAGGGGGAATGTCCTGAACGTCAGGTCCCAGGCGCGCCGCGTGTGCCCTGAGGATGTGCAGCTCTTCCTGCAAACCCGGAGAAAAAGCTGCGTGAGTGCTGGGACGGTTTTTTTTATTTATTCGGGTGCGAGGGTTTTTAGGCTAGCAGTGCACCAGGCCTGTAGCCGAACAACTTGCACTCGGTCCCTCCGCGTTCCTCGATGGTGGCGCCAAACCAGCACCTTGCAAGGCTTCACAAAGACCACCAGGGGCCCAGCACTCCAACGGTGCTTGTCCAGCTCCGGCCCCCATTGGCAATTGGCCGATGGGGAGAGTTCCTTTTTATTGCTCCGCCCGCAATTGCTGTTTTGTGGCTTCGCAATCAAAGCTGCCAAGCCAAGAGACAGAAAATACAATACAAGAAACGACCACCGTAGCACAAGACAAAGCTGACACCTGCAGACCAACTTAAACTCATACAAAAAATCTGGTTAAAAAGGAGCTTTTATGGGTTTGCAGGCCAAAGGGCGTCCTGTCGTGCTGGAAGGTTGTTGACTCTTCACCACGCCTGACCTTGCAGAGCGGACTATTGGAAGAAGTTGCCATTGTCTTTTCAACCAACGGCATCTGTTGCAACAGAAAATAACATTAGAGTATGGACATATTTTACTTGGTGCAGCAGACCCGCACGGTTACGGACCGTTTCATCTGGACCCTTAAAATTATACATGTAAACATGGAACACAAGTAAGATAACTGGCAACACTTTTTACGGGTGGTTGAAACACGTTGAAAAACCCACGCACGCACGCGCTGGCTTGTTGCCGCCAGTCGTCCCAGTTCCAAGTGCTCCGGCCGGTCCACCAGTTTTCCGACCACCCCCAGCCGCCCCACGAAGACGTGGTGGCGCAGGAAGTGTTCTGAGAGGGGCGCTCTAACTCCCAGAAAGACCTGCCGGCAACCTCTGTCAGCCCACCCGTCGCGCGCGCCAGCCACATGGCTGCAGGTCAGCACAATGCCGTGCTAAGAGAAACACCGAAGGCCTGCAAAGATGTAGCTTGCAGGTTGCGGAGTTGCTTGGTGCAGCCTGTTTGTGCACTTGCTTGTTGGGTTAGGGGGTTCCAAGCAGTGAAGCTCGTGTTTTGCCCGTCCACCCTGTGACATGTTCCGCATTCTGCCTGGCTGGCTGTTGTGGATGCTACACGGGGCGTTGCGTTGCCGTACTCGGGTCACGAATGATCATGCTGCTCACATTCGGCCACCGCCATGTTGGCGTGATGAGCATTGCCAACTTGATTAGTGCCACGCAACAAATCAGCACCATGCTTTGTGCACTTTGCAATTGCCATTTTGATCCAATGAGGCGACAAACCGGTTCCTTTTTTGCAACGGCTTCTCTGCTTTCGGGCTCAAGCTGGAAGCCGGTTCAAAGGGTGCCGGGTTCTCGGTACCTGTACAAGGTGTTGATCATGAAAGCGCGCATGGAAGACTCCTTGGCTTTCATCGCGCGACATGGCCTGGCTTCGAGGTGGGGGGTTTCCTTTTGTGGCGGGCCTGTGTTAAAGGAATCCACAAGGAAACCACGCAATTGGCGAGTTCCCGTTTGTTGAGATTGTTTCGTCTTGGTGTATTTAAGAGGGACATCGGGGAAACTCGCTATATATATTTCCAAAGTTTGGGGACTCGCTCATTTCCCGACGTATGTCCTTTGGGGACAGGCAATTTTGACACGCCTTCTTTGGTTGCATTGTTTGCTCTTTTGGAGGTTTTGCGGCTCGGTAGATTCCAGAAAAGTCAGGTGCACATAATTCTTCCAAGCAACAAGTTTTCAAAAGAGGCAATTGAGGGCCCGCTCCCAAAACCGATTGATTTGGGCCTTTTGGTGGTTGTTCTACTAGGGTACGGCCTATATCACTAGACCACGGTTGGCCCGAAAGCAGAACATCGCAAGCGAGGTCGGCCCAACGCTGCAGGATGCGTTCTTTTTCCCTACACTTCGTGAAGCAAGCGCGAGACAGCACCAGGCAAGGTGCTCTGCGCAAACTGGTCGGTGCAAGTTGGTCTGCGCAAGTTGCTCTACGCAAGTTGCACTGTGCAAGTTGCTCTGCGCAAGTTGCTCCGCGCAAGTTGCTCCGGCAAGTTGGTCCCTGCAAGTTGCTCTGTGCAAATTGCGCTCCCTGCAAGTTGCTCTGTGCAAGCTGCTCTGTGCAAGTTGCTCTGTGCAAGTTGCTCTGCGTAAGTTGCTCTGCGCAAGTTGCTCTAGGCAAGGCGCTCTGCGCAAACTGGTCGGTGCAAGTTGGTCTGCGCAAGTTGCTCTGTGCAACTTGCTCTGCGCAAGTTGCTCTGCGCAAGTTGCTGTAAAATGCAAGTTGCATCTTGCGACGCCCGCCCGCGGACCAGGGAGGAATCGAACCCGCGACCCGCCGGTTCCGGGAGCAGGCGCGCGAACCACGAGACAACTCCCGAGGACCAGTCGCAAAAAACCTTGAGTTTTTGCACCTCGACCACGCCGATTCCCGCAGAGGGTTGCGCGAGCACCGCAGAAATCGCAAAAAACCATGGGTTTTTGCACCTCGACCACGCCGATCCCCGCAGAGGGTCGCGCGAGCAGGTTAGAAATCGCAAAAAACCATGGGTTTTTGCACCTCGACCACGCCGATTCCCGCAGAGGGTTGCGCGAGCACCGCAGAAATCGCAAAAAACCATGGGTTTTTGCACCTCGACCACGCCGATCCCCGCAGAGGGTCGCGCGAGCAGGTTAGAAATCGCAAAAAACCATGGGTTTTTGCACCTCGACCACGCCGATCCCCGCAGAGGGTCGCGCGAGCAGCAGAAATCGCAAAAAACCATGGGTTTTTGCACCTCGACCACGCCGATCCCCGCAGAGGGTCGATTTTCGTGTAGTGTCGTCGGCACTACCCCGCCGCCCTAAGAAGAGATTTTAACTCCTCGCAAGTCAATTGCACTTGACTCCTTGCACTTGCAACTTGCACTTGACTCCTTGCTTGTTTCAAGGAGTCATTGCAAGCAGTCATTGCAAGGAGTCATTGCAAGGAGTCATTGCAAGGAGTCATGGCAAGGAGTCATTGCAAGGAGTCATTGCAAGGAGTCATTGCAAGGAGTCATGCAAGGAGTCATTGCAAGGAGTCATTGCAAGGAGTCATTGCAAGGAGTCATGAGAGCCATTGCAAGTTGCAAGGAGCCAAGTGCATGGAGTCAAGTGCAAGTCGCAAGTGCACGGAGTTAAGTGCAAGTTGCAAGTGCAAGGAGCCAAGTGCAAGGAGCCAAGTGCAAGGAGCCAAGTGCAAGGAGCCAAGTGCATGGAGTCAAGTGCAAGTTGCAAGTGCATGGAGTCAAGTCAAGTTGCAAGTGCAAGGAGTCAAGTGCAAGTTGCAAGTGCAAGGTTCAAGTGCAATGCAAATGACTCCTTGCAATGACTCCTTGCAATGACTCCTTGCAATGACTCCTTGCAATGACTCCTTGCAATGACTCCTTGCAATGACTCCTTGCAATGACTCCTTGCATTGACTTTCATGATGATGATTCCTTGCAATGACACCTTGTAATGACTCTCATGAGAACAATTCAAGTGAACCCAGCGGAAGAACCCTTCGCCATGCTTTCGGGAAAACTTTGGACATGTGTTTTTTCCAGGAAACTTGTTTTGGTTGGCTTTACAGAGAAACCAAACGCAAACAAGCCGACCAATTCAGCCGACCCCTTGTTAATGAACCCTCAGTGATTCATCAAGGCGTCCCATTTTGGTGGAAATTTATTTCTTCTAGGGGCATGCGCTCCACTTGTGCGTAGGTTGGGGATGTATTTCTCCGGGGGTCAGCAGGTGCTCGGCGCTCGCTTGCGACTTGCGCAGGCTGCGGAAGCGCAAGTCTTTGACTGGGTACGCAGTGGCAACAGGCCATCCATTGGCATTTGCCGGACTGAGCCGATGCAATCTCTGAGAGAGCTGGAGCTGGCGTTCTGGAAGGGCTCGTGAGGTTGATGTTGGGGTTGGCCGCCTGGGCGGATTTTTTCAGCAGCCGTTTGCTTGTCCTTCATTTTCCATTTCAACCGGAAAAGGAAAGAGCTGGTGGTGTCCTTCGTGTGGAGTCACATGGGGTTTTTCTCGCCGCCAGTTGCGGGGGCCTTCCTGTTTGCCTGCGCGGGCCCAAGAGAGAGAGGGGGAGATCTGTTTCTTTTCAAAATTTGTCCCCAAGGTTGGGGATTAATGGTTTCAACAACAGCTGGGGTCTCCTCTGAGACGATTTTACTTGTTGATGGATGTGTGTTTTGAAGTGGGTGGCCCATTTTTCGCTGGTTTCTTTGGGGAACAAAAGGACCGCCAGCTGCTTTGCGGGTCTTGAGAGAGGCACACCCGCGGCTCGTTTTTCCTCCTCCCCTCCGCACTCTTTGGCCTTGAGGTGTACTGCGGTCTTGTGCAGCACCGAAGACGCAGCCGCAGGCTCGCCGCAGTTCGGAGTTGCAACCTGAATTGAAAATGGGCTGCAACGCATGTCATTTCCTGTAGGGGGGGGTGCCGGGCGCGTTTGACCAAGCTGGGAACGAAATCGTCCGATTTCCAGACCGCTGGTTCTGTTTCCGATCCCTGACGCTGGAGTCTCCATGACCATCCCGGAGCTCTCATGGCGTTTCACTTTTCGCCACGGAGCGGACCGAGGTTTTCAGCCTTCAGATTCTCCTTGTACGGTTGGTTGAAAGGAAACCACCTGCGGATGTTCCAACAAGTTTGCCTTCTTTGTCCGATTGGATTTGACAAAGCACGAGACTATGCAGCTTTCAGCCCTGGAAGCCTTGGAAG